GATGAGGTAGGGGCAGAAGGGGAGGGGTGGCATCTGCATTAGCTCTACCCCTGGAATGGGGTGTGTTACTGGTCATTGTAGGTTGCCTGGCTTTTGTAACAGACTTGAAAGCTTTGAAGAAAGAGATTGGCTGACAGGCTCATGTAAGCCATCCACTCTGAGCATTCTGTGAACACCAGAGGCTTCCATGACAATGATTGGAGACCTACATCTCCTTCCAGAAACTTTTAAGATTCTGTCTTTATCTTTTTTTTTTAATCCTCATCCAAGGATATTTTTCCATTAATTTAGGGAGAATGGAAGAGAGAGGGCAAAACAGAGAAAAACATCAATGTGAGAGAAACACATTGATTGGTTGCCTCCTGCAGGAGTCCTGGCCAGGGCCAGGGCCAGTGCCGGGGCCGGGGAGGAGCCTGCAACCAAGGTACATGCCCTTGATTTGGAATTGAACCTGGGACTCTTTGGTCCCTAGGTCGTTGCTGTATCCACTGAGCCAAACTAGCTAAGGCTCCGTCTTTATCTTTAATTGCTATTTTAATTATGATGTGTCGTAGGATGAGCCTCTTTGAGTTCATCTTGTTTGGGACTCTGCACTTCCTTGACTTGTGCGTCTTTTTCCTTCATCAGGTTGCAAAGTTTTCAGTCATTATTTCTTCAAATAGGTTATCAATCCCTTGCTCTCTCTCTTCTCCTTCTGGTATCTGTATGATGGGGATGTTGTTGCATTTCATGTTGTCCCAGAGGTCCCTTAAATGTTCCTCATTTTTTTAAAAAAATTATTTTTTCTTTTTGCTATTCTAATTGGACATTTTCTGCTACCTTAACTTCCAAATCACCGATTTGATCCTCTGCTTCATCTAATCTGCCTTTGAGTCCTTCAAGTGTATTTTTAATCCTCACCTTAGGATATGTTTGATTTGAAAGACGGAGAGGGAGGGAGGGATGAGGGAGGAACATTGATGTGATAAACATTGATTGGTTGCCTCCTGTACGCACCCTGACCAGGGATCAAACCCACAACCTAGGTCAGTGATGGCAAACCTTTTGAGCTCGGCGTGTCAGCATTTTGAAAAACCCTAACTCTGGTGCCGTGTCACATATAGAAATTTTTTGATATTTGCAACCATAGTAAAAACAAAGATTTATATTTTTGATATTTATTTTATATTTAAATGTCATTTAACAAAGAAAAATCAACCAAAAAAATGAGTTCGCGTGTCACCTCTGACATGCATGTCATTGGTTCGCCATCACTGACCTAGGTATATGCCTTGATCGGGAATCAAATCTGCAGCCTTTTTTGGTGTATAGGACAACAGTCCTATAAACTGAGCCATCCAGCCAGGGCTTTCTAGTGTATTCTCCATTTCAGATACTGTATTTTTCATTTCTGACTGGTCCTTTTTTATGCTTAGTATCTCTTGCATTAAGTTCTTACTGAGTTCATCCACTCTTCCCCTAAGTTCCTTAGGCATCCTTATAGCCATTGTTTTGAACTCTAGATCTGGTAGATTCTTTTTCTGGAGGTTTCTCCTGTTTTTTCATTTGGAGCATGCATGCTTCTTTGTCTCCCCATTTTGGCTGTCTCTGTGTATTTATTTCTGTGTATCAGGTCAATCTGCTCTGTGTTCCAGTCTTGGTAGGGTGGCCTTATGTAGCACGTATCGTGTGGGGCTCAGTGGTACAGTCTCCCTGATCACTTAGGCTGGGTGCTCCAGAAGAGTTTCTGTGTGGGTTATGTGAGCCCTCCTATTGTAGTTGTCTTGACTGCTGTTTGACCTCCCGTGGATGGGGCTGGCCTTCAGCCTGGCTGACTATGAGGCTTGGCCCCGACCACAGTGTATGAGTTGCTGTGCAAGAGCTAACCACACAAAGCAAAATCCACCCCGTAGGATCTGGTGCCTGTCAAAACCTCCCTTTGGCTGTGTGGCCTGTGAAGCTAACCACCTCCCTATACGGGTTTTTTTTAACTTAAGTTTCAAGCAATGTTATTTGGTTTGATTGTTTTACTTATTCAATTAATTAAATGATGCACATGATGATAATTAAAACATTTTAGAGATGCCTTTCCATCACTCACCCAGGAGACGCAGACTTGGGATTTTTCGAAATCTGGAGCTGGAAACACTTTTTTTGAACTCATGCTTTAAGGGGAAGCATTTTCCAATAAATTACATCCCATTTTAAAAAAAATCAATACCTTAATGTTTTAATGATGTAAACTTATTTAAAATAAAAACATAGTATACACCTAAAATTCTGCCAGCATAATGCTCTACCTCAGAAGTGGGTAAACTACAGCCTACAGCTTTTTGTACACCTGCAAGCTAAGAATGGCTTTTACGTTTTTAAAAAATATATTTTTATTGATTTCAGAAAGGGAGAGAGAGAGAGACATCAATGATGAGAGAGAATCACTGATCAGCTGCCCCTGCACACTCCCTACTGGGGATCGAGCCTGCAAACCAGGCACATGCCCTTGATCGAAATCAAACCCGGGATCTTCAGTCCACAGGCCAACACTCTATCCACTAAGCCTAGGGTGGCTTTTACATTTAAAAGTGTTGTAAAAACACCAACCAAGAATATGGGACTGAGTATGTGGACAGCAATGCCTAAAATATTTACTATTTATCCCCTGACAGAAAGGTTTGCCACCTCCTGCTCTACTTCATAATGGAATTTTGAGTGTCTCACTAAACCAATACCTTCATACTTCTAAATCTACACTTAAGGAAAGTTATATGATTTCTCTCTCCATTCCCCTGTCCAGTAGTTTCTTTACTAGCTACTCTCTTCACATACAAGTGTTTACACAAGCATTACACAATATTCTGGGTTAGTTCACACACACACACACACACACACACTCACACACACACACACTCACACACACTCACACACACACACACACACTCACACACACACACACACACACTAGGGGCGGAGCATGTCTTTTGTTTAATAACAAGCATTGCAGCACAAGTATTTTTCCAACCAGTTTAAGTCCCACGATGGTTTAATAAACTGAGCCTATGAATGAATTAGTGAATTGGGCCTATGTTGCCCAGAACATATGACTTATGCCAACGTCTCCATCTGCACACATCCAATATTGCAAGAGGGCAGGAGACTAAAGATTTTCAGTGCTAAATCAATAAACTAATTAACAATAGGCTGGAATAATATTCATCTCACTTCAATGACAAAGAAAAAACATGTATAAGATGGCGACAGAACTAAATTCAATAAATGGGTGAAACCTATGGATTTGAAGTTCTTCGCCACTTAGACCACCTGAAGTCACATTTTAAGACTTCCAACAATAAATATAGTGAAAAAAGAGAACATCTATGCTCAAAATGTCAGAAGTCAAAGAGACTATGTGACCTAACAACACTGCAGAAACATTCAGAAATTCTGGAAATAGTATGAACCTTTCCTACATCAGAAAGAACAAAGTTTTCATTTCAGCACAACCAGTAATATATGATACAGAGCTCAAAGAGGACTACAAAACACCTTCCGAGACAAGCAGCACGGGAGTAAAATACCTCTCCCTACACTAAAGGGGAAAAGCTAGAGGCCTCCTCTCCTTGAAACTGTCAACACCTAAAAATCACCTTCACTCAAAACTCTGGGTCCTCCTATTCTTCCCAAATAATTAAACATTCTGCAGAAGAAATAAAAATTCAACACACATGCTTTAAATAGATGAAGCGGGAAGACGTAAGAAGGGATCTTATTTGGACTACCTTACAGAGACTCAAAAGTTTGATTGAAGTTTATTTTTTGGAAGAGGTCTCTAATCAATACAATTTTGATACATTGCATACACATCTTATATGAGACTAATTAGAAATGTAAACATTTTTGTATGCCAGAAGAACCATTTTAGTCTTAACTGCAAATTCCTAAAATGCAAACCTACAAACTTCAGATTTTGAGTACATTCATGTTTTTACATATATATGCATTTTTTTATTATTATTACTAGAGGTCTGGTGCACAAAATTCATGCACTGGCGGGTGGGGGCAGGGGGGAGCGTCCTCAGCCCAACCTGCACCCTCTCACAGTCTGGGAGCCCTCAGGGGATGTCCGACTAAGCCAGCAGTCGAACATCCTTAGCGTTGCCACAGAGGCAAGAGAGGCTCCTGCCACTGCACTCGCCAGCCATCAGCCTGGCTTCTGGCTAAGCGGCACTCCCTCTGTGGGAGCATACTACCAGGGAGCAGCTCTTGCATTGAGCGTCTACCCCCTGGTGGTCAGTGTGCGTCATAGCGACCAGTCGTTCCTCCATCAGGCCAAAACTGGCCCTCCAACATCCCCTTAGGGGGTCCCCACCGACGCACAATCGGGCGGGGAGGGATGCGGGAGATTGGCCAGCCAGTGAGGGACCGCAGGAGGGCTCCAGGGCATGTCAGGCCCATCTAGCTCAATCCCAATCTGCTGGACCCCAGCAGTAAGCTAACCTACCAATTGGAGCGTCTGCCTCCTGGTGGTCAGTGCACATCATAGCGACTGGTCAATCGGTCGACTGTCTGACCCTGGTGGTCAGTGCACATCATAGCAAGCGGTTGAGTGGCCTTAGCATATCATTAGCATATTACACTTTGATTGGTTGAACAGCTGACCAGCCAACCAGACACTTAGCATATTAGGCTTTTATTATATAGGATTATTGACTTCAGAGAGGAAGAGAGAGGTATAGAGAGATAATAACATCTATGATGAGAATCATTGATCAGTTGCCTCCTACACACCCCTACTGGGGATCAAGCCCACAACCCAGGCATGTGCCCTTGACTGGAATGGAACCTGGGACCCTTCAGTCCACAGACCGATGCTCTATCCACTGAGCCAGACCAGCTAGGGCTCATAATCATTGTTATTAGTGGTTTCTAATCCAAAACAATACAGCAAATACTTTTCAGAAGAGAAATCTTGGACCAGAGAATAACCAATTTTACTACGGAAATAACACCATTCTCTTACAATGTGCCAGATCCTTCTAATCACTTCTCACTTACAGTATAAATTTCACAGTATTAATAATGTGAAAGCGATCAAGGAACTATTGTATTGAATTCTCTGGAACAAATTGTTAGACTGCTTCAAAACACTCTTCAGTACTTGGGATTAACTACTATATTTCGTTATATAGACACGACTTCCAGGAAGTATAGTTCTCCCAAAGGCCAAACTTAAAGTGGCTAATATAATGGTGTTATTTTTCAAACTTGCTAAAAAAAATTTTTAGCCCTAGCTGGTGTGGCCCAATGGATAGAGCGTGGGCCTGCCGACTGAAAGCTCCGGTTCGATTCCGGCCAAGGGCACATACATGTACCGGTTGTGGGTTCCATACCCAGTCGGGGGAGTGCAGGAGGCAGCCGATCCATGATTCTCTCTCATCACGGGTGTTTCTCTCTCTCTCCCCCGTCCTCTCTGAAATCAATAAAAATATATTATAAAAATTTTTCAGCAGGTAATCAAAGCAGCCCACGGCGCAGGGTAGCCAGGTGCTGCAGTCAGGAGACAAGTCCGTTACACAAAGCAGAACCCAGCCGGGCGGGTAAGAGAGGAAGTTGAGCAGCGGCGCCTGCGGCTCAGCAGCTCCGCGGAAGCACCTTCCCGACACCCGCTCCGCGGGAACCCGCGGTCTCTCCGCGCACATCTGTGCCCGCAGGCGGCCGCTGGGCTGTGAGGAAAAAACTTGCGCCAGCGCGGGCAGGGGAGGCCAGTGAGGCACCCCAATTCCTTCCATCTTGGTGTTACGGCTGAAGGAGAAAGAAAACTAAAAGGCAACCGAGGCAGCGTGCCTGCGGGGGGTCCCGCCCGGCCCCTCCGGCGCAGCGGTTCCAGGAGTCAGTTCCTGGA